GTTCCGGGTGAGATCGGAATAATACCAGAGCACCGGGAGGTTATCGGAACCCCCCGAGAGGTATATGGGCCTTAATGGGCTTTAGTGGAAAGGAGGGGAAAGGAGCAAGGGAGGGCCCCCCCCAATCCCAGTCCGAATTGGGAAGGTGGCCGGCCCCCCTTTCCTTCCTCCCCCTTCCTCTTCCTTCCCTCTCCCTCTCCAAATAGGAAAAGGAGGAGCGCGCCTCCTCCCCTTGGTCGGCCATCTCCTCCCCTTCTTTATATACAGAGGAGAGGGGCACCCCATAGACACAACAATTGATCTCTTGGATCTTTTAGCCGTGTGTGGTGCCCCTCTCCATCATAGTCCACCTCGATAATATTGTAGCGGTGCTTAGGCGAAGCCCTGCAACAGTAGAACATCAACATCGTCACCACGCCGTCGTGCTGACGGAACTCTCCCTCAAAGCTCGGCTGGATCGGAGTTCGAGGGACGTCATCGAGTTGAACGTGTGCTGAACTCGGAGGTGCCGTGCGTTCGGTACTTGATCGGTCGGATCATGAAGACGTACGACTACATCAACCGTGTTGTGCTAACGCTTCCGCTTTTGGTCTACGAGGATACGTGGACACACTCTCCCCTCGCATTGCTATGCATCACCATGATCTTGCGTGTGCGTAGGAATTTTTTTGAAATTACTACGTTCCCCAACAAAAGGCAACAAACCTACTTCTATGATTCAACCGCCTCCGCAGCCTCGGGTTCAAGACCGTATACCTATCCCCGGTGTGGCAAAATGGCATATCCCCAGTGATCCGATCCTACCTAAGGCAGCGGTAGAGGCCATATACGACGATCAAAGGAGACTTCATGACAATGTGCTGCGGAGAGAGAAAAGGCTGATCGCCTCGAAAAATCCAGGATACCCGCTCTGCGTGGTTAAGATGCCGCAGCAAAGGTTGTATGTCGACACATTCCCCGCAGAGAAGTTCTTCCTTCGATTTGATTACATCTTCAACATGTTTCACTTGAAAAAGCTGGATTTTACGTTTGTCCGCCTTTTTGCCTTGTACATGAACTACATCATCAGGACTGAGCAGATACCTTATATCTATGTCACTGACCCGTACTTCATGCACGAAGGCTTCTTGGCAGTCTTCCCAAAGCACCGTGAATACACGAGTAACTACATCGCCGATTTCATGGTCGACAATAAGGACAAGGAGACGATTCTTGTGCCTTATCATCCCATGCAAGTCATCAGCGTGGATATCCTTCCTTTAATTTCAATCATTTCATTTGCACGCGTGGAGGCTAATTTGAGGTGTACTTATTTTGCGCAGCGATGGGCGCGCCGTCCTCATCATCCTTTACCCCCGATTCTCCCACGCTCTTTACTTGGACTCGTCGAAGAACATGAAGAAAAAGGATTACACCCACATCAAGTCTGTTCTCGACAGTGCTATCTTTACCTACGGCCTACGGGGTGGAGAGATCACGCTCAAGAAAGCAAGGAACCGCGCGCCTGCCTTCGGCCATAAGACCGACTTCTGCTGCATCCAGCAATCGAGTGGTACTCTCAGTGATGGATTCTATGTCCTCCACCACATGCTGGAGTACAGACGGGATCAGCAGAACCTTCACATGTCACCTAGATCCGGCGATGCCCATATTCTGCAGTGGGTAAATAACCTAGGAGATATCCCGGATCATCGACTTCGAGTTGAGTTCTATCACATCCAGCGTGAACTTGCCCAAATCATCACGAAGGAGGTCCTTGGAAAAAACAGGGTTGTTCTATGAAGAAGGGGAAATGTCGTGGGAAGACGTCCAAACACGCGTATCGGCTCAGCGTCTCGACCTGAAGCCTTTCACTGCGCTCGGGGACTATCTCCCTAACTTGGATGGATGGCACGACATCTTGGAGTGATTGAGGATATATGACAAAGTGCCCATTTAGTCCATACTTTCTCTATGACGAAACTTTGAGTTGTGCACGATGAAACTTTACTTGTGATGTAATTAAACCGTCCTCCTCAACTAGCAAAGATCACTCTAGTTAGGGCATTTTGGGTACGATGAACTTTGTTATTTATGCTTATGATATGTTGCTTCTATTTTTGCCAAGTCTGTCTCTTTCTGTTGCTCAACTATATATGTTGCATATTATCGACTCATGTGACGATGCAGGTACATAGATCATCGATGGCGAAGAAGTGCTACGCCACGAGTATACGACGAGTGGCCGAAGTGTCAGGCCCAGGTGTACCGGTTTCCGAGCGATAGCCAGAGAGGGTTCGATAGCAGAGCCGAAGCGGAAAGTAGTTAGTTTAGGTTCACGCTAGTGCGAGAGAGGGATATGAACCGGTGCCTCAAGAAGTACTACATTATGTATGATGAGACATGTCATGTAACTTGTATAGCTATATCGTGATTATGATGTGACGACATGATTTGTGTTGGATGATATGATGAGACTATTATGTGTATGATATGATGAGCATATTACCAGTTTATGATATGAGTAGAATACTGTATAAAATCTGTTCAAAAACATCGCAAATACATAGCAAAAAAAAGATATGTGAAAATGTAGTAGTAACACTCTTTAGCGTTAAACAGGAAAACGCTGCTGCTAAGCCACTTAGCAGTAGCGCTGGTATGGACAACGCTACTGCTAAGTAGCTATAGCAGTAGCGTGGGAAGAAACGCGCTACTGCTAAGCGTTAGTTGTAGCGTCGTATCAGTAGCGCGGTGATAGGCCTTAGACCCGCACTACTGCTAGGCTTTTCCCTAGTAGTGTCTGTATGTAGGACTGCTGCTGGTGGTAGTTGTCGGACTGGGTGGGATCCGAGTCTTCCACATGTCCGTCCTCATAGGCCCCTCCTCTTCCCTCGCCTCCATCATGGATGATGTCGAGAATCTCCTTGTCAGCGCCGTACCCTGACTCCCACGCTCTAGGCATTGCAGCTAACAGCGTGCGGGCACCCATCTGCTCTCGGCCCGCCGTCTGTGCCCGGACGAGCTGCGATGAGGAATACTTGGAGAAGAGTGGCGTGACGTTAACGTCGACGATGTAAGCACCGTATCGGTGGGGGCTCCGAGCTACTTGGCGGCGTAGTAGTACGGAGGCTTGTAAGGCTCCGGCCGCGGCGCTGTCTGTACTGTGGGCGTGCCCGTCTGGCGGCGCCCGCCATGGAAGCCAAGACCGCCTCGTCCGCCATGACCTCCACGCCCAACGCCACCACCATGCCCACCGGCGGCCAACCGCTTCTTGAGTTTTTCCTCCTTTGTGGCCTTTGCTTTGACGCGGCGAGTTTGTCGTGTCGCCGAGCTGATCTTCCGGACAAGCGTTATGCTCGGATCCTCCGGCACCTCCGTCGGCTCCATCTCCAACAGGTTCTCCAATGTCGGCGACGACGGAAGAAAGGAGAGGGTGGGAGAAAAGAGCGGGAATTCGGCAGAGAGCGGTGGGGGATGAAAGAAGAGAATGGGGAATTTTGACACGGAAACAATGTGGGATGCTTCAAAAGCGCGGGCTCCGCCTTCCTTTTGGATGAGTCGGGGAGGAGGGGGCAGAGAGCGACGTTTCGCGTGTCCGAACTCCTGCAAAGCCCCATCCCTCTGTTTGTCTTTGGTTTGCGGAAAAGAACACGTCTGGATCGTATTGGATGGCTTTTGCGGTCTGTACAGCACGGTCCGGACGGATATGGTAGGTTTGCGGGTCGATGTTCGGAGATGCCCTTAATACTCTATATCTATCGATGGATCTGCAGGAACTAAAATAAAAACTTCGACAACCAGCGTGACGTGGGAGGCTCTTGTATCTGCAGCTGCGCTTTCACTCGAATCAAAAGAAGAAGAAAAAGATACAGCTGCTCAACAAGTTCCTCTTGATACCGGTGCGACACGCGTGCCACCACGAGCTCCAGCACCGTGCGGAATCGAAGCTCGCGCTAGGCGCTCGTGTCCTGCGCACCTCGCCTGACCATGTTCCCTTTTCTATTCCTTCTCCTCTGGTCGATGCTACTCCAGGTGGAGGCGGTGGTTGCTTCGCCGAGCACAGTCGGTAGTTGCCGAGAAGTGGCCGGCGGAACCGGGAGTTTCATAGGATACCGCTCCTAGCTCCTACTAGTACCTAGCTTAGCCAGGATTGACTCGCGGGAACGAGCAAGTAGTGGAACCGGTGCTGTGCTAGGCATGGGACGACGCCGGAAGCGCGGACGACAGCAGAATCCTGTAGGCTCCCATTGAAAATGATATCGACATATTATTATAGGAATGGATCCCCCCTCCCGTCCCACCCACTACTGTGGTTTATCGTGTCATTCAAAAGGTTATCGCGTCCGTCTGCGGTCAATCGACAGGTTCATTCACACGGCCAGTGTCACTTTAAATCTACCGTAGTTTTTTGACCGAGCGTCAACTGTCACTGCTCATGTCTCCTAGATGCATCATTGCCTTCAGGAAGCAGACGTTGCCATATCAGTCATCAGGCCGGGCTAACGACCTGTGCTTGGATTCGTTAGCGCGGAACTGTCGGTTGCGAAGTCCTGATAATTGCAGCTGCGAGATCTGGAAAGCAAGGGAGAGCGAGAGGAATCTACCCTCATCAGCGACCACCACGCTGCTGCCCAGAAGAGGACAGCTCCCATGAACCCTCTTGTGCCAAAAGAGGCAGCAAGCAACGCTTCCGAGTGTCTTTTTTTTCCAAGCATAGCAACACTTCGAGTTGGCGCTGCGAAGCAGCACATCACACAGAAACGACACGCGAGAGCACAACTTGCACCAACCACGGGCGGGGTTTGATTTAACGACTTGATTTAAGTACACACACAAAAAAGATGGGCCTGATTAAGACGATGATGACACGACGACAGCGCACACACGCGGATTAAGTAGGTAACCTGCAACTCCGGTACTAATTAAAGATCGCTCCCTAGGCTACAAACGCTCAAATTCAGGCTTGTGCGCTCAGCAAGACAGCGACGAGGCGCCTGCGCACTGCATGGGAGCCGGCTCTACATCAGCAAGCTGCGGATGATGGCCGCTTGCGCGCTGCTCATGTCCGAGGTCGCCAGCAGCTCCGACAGCCTCTCGCTCAGGTCGTCCACCTCCCGGTGCAAGCTCCTGATGTAGGTGCACGTCTCCTGCAGCACCCTTGAAGATGGCACCTGGATTTGGGGAACCAAAGGGAAATTAACGGGTCTGCTGTCAGGTCAAGATCATTATAATGTTAATGATAGCTAATGCAGAAAGTTGAAGCGTCGGAAGAGCATGCAATTGTAGGATTGTCGAAGACATAGCTGATTAGTTCATCATCTACTAGGCTTTATAATATACCCAAGGAATTGAACGGTAAGCAATAGGTCGTAACTACAACAAAGCAGTGGCCAATTTCTTTGTGTGTGAAGAAGAAGAAGAAGAGTCTAACCATAATTTCTAGAGCTACCATTTGCTGCATATAAAGAGAGAATGCCAATGATGAATGATTACGTACTCTATCATTGCCCCGGAGACGCGCCTCGGGAAGGAGGTCCTGCAACTTGGAGACAAGGTCGCTGATTTGCTCGTCAGTGATCCTCGACGAGCCGGACTGCCTTGACCTTGACCTACGGCTCGACATCACTGCAAATGTGAGTGATCGGATGTACTTAGGAATTGGATGCTTGGCAGAGAGAGCCCAAGACAGTGAGGGTTTATGGTTGGAGTGAGACAAGTTTGAGAGACAGAAGTGGTGGCAGACAGGGACGGAGAGGAACTAAGAAGAAGTGGTGTTGGAAGAGAGGGAAGACAAGTTGTGCATGGGAGAAAGAAATGAGTGGCTACTAGGGTGTTAAATAGTGGCAGCTGCAAACCGAGAAACCCAAAGGGCAGGCAAGAGGAAGTGAGCTTCTTCTGATCTACACAGTGCTCAGCCCAGTACAAGACCCTGACCTATAGGGACAAAACCAAACTATGGTCCAAATGGCAGTCACATGCAGGAAGTATTAAACTGAAAGCGGAACTGCCAAGAGAGAGACAGAGAGAGGGAGAGAGACCATACTGAGGAGCTTGTGCGAGTCTCATGCTACTCGTGCATCGCCGCTGCAAGTGGGAGGAAGCTTTGAACAACAGGAGATGAAGTGCTGGTGGGAGAGACGACTTGGAGGCCAGTACTGTCAGAAGGAGAAACACATGCCATGTTACTTGAACTGCCAAAATATGTGTGGGTTTATTGTTCTTGCCCCCACATTATGTACTCAATATTTGTATGAAATAAGAACAGTGGCTCTACAGTTACTGGTAGATGGCTTTGTTTGCGGCTCTATTTGGACATGTCTAGGGTTCAGTGTACACCCGTGCATGAAGCACAAATCTCTTGTCTCCGCAAACACTAGGTCCCCGAGGAACAGTGATACCGGGTGAATTCCAGTCACTACTCACTACTCCATAGATGCGCAAGTGCCTCCTAGACAATGTAGTTATGGTGACATTTTTGTACAGTTTCCTAATTCCTATCTACATATCTATCCTGTCAGATCAGAAATTTTAGCAATCTCAGCTTTGCTCCTTATGAAAATCTGCTCTTGCATCGTAACTTATAAAAATATAGCTAATACCATGCACAACTGCTGAAACATGAGTGCATGAACCAAACCGATCAGTTAATAGATATTTCCGGCACTGAATACCTCAGTGTATCAGATTCAGCAGTGTCATGATGCTGACTGGTCTCTTCGATCATTTGGCACCCACGGCCCATGTCTTGCGGCGCCTGATAATCAATACATGTATGGGGCACATTGACAAGTGTTATTACACCCACACATTATCAGGCGGAATCAAGGCCAATACTGTGGGTTCATGTATCAGATCGGTGCACTGTTTCAAGTACAGAAATGGAGTGAAACAAAGGAATGAGCTGGTTGCAGATAAATTCATACTTGCAATTTCGTGAAATGATTACTCACTGAAACACTTTGGTTCCCCTACTTCAGTCATTCTCATTCTTGTTCTGTTGCTCAAGTTGACCTTGTATAAAATGATGTAGCCAAGCTTCATAAAAGTATGACAGCGAAAATGATCGACAAGTTAGTTAGAAACACTGAAAGTACCGGAAAAAAACCAATGTTTTGGTATATGCAATAGAGTATGCATGTACTAATGCTGAGGATCTAAAACAAAACAATAATGCCTTCTGCAAATTTGAGATTTCCAATATATTAAGCATGACCAATTAGCATATCTGAATCATGTATGCCCTTTCAGCTCCCAACAAACTCTCGGGAATGTATCAATACATGTAGGCTTACACAGTTTGCAACATAGTTTTACTTGATGACTGTATTATGGGAAAAACACTCCCATGTATCAGCCACAACATTTAGCTCTGTAAGGAACAAGAGTAGATGCATTGGACTATATATGGCACCAAATATGTTTGCAAAATGCACCCCTACATACAGATCATAGTAGAATGAATCTGCCCTTCCAGGAAAAGAGTTGCTGGACAACTCAGAAGAATCATTGGGAATTTGACCAGTCAATGCAACGAGCCAGGCAGTACAGCAAGTATAGTGCAACTGCCAGCTTTATTCTTCAGTGACCTGACACCTGAGCTAGTAGGACACATATTAGCCCTTCGTACCCTCTAGAAGCTTAAGAGACAGTATTAAGATGTGAACATGACAGCAAAACCTCAAAATGTAAGCATGTGGGTAATTGCATTTTGGCCCAAATTTCTACTCACAAAGTAAATCCCAGTTGCAAAGTCTCAGCTTTCGCAAACTAGTGGCTAGTTTAACTATCAACATAGTAAAACATCATAGCGGAACATATAAAGTTTCCAGGCAGCTCAATATGATTGATCATTTCAATCCTTAGATTATAAGCAGGTACTCCCTCCAATGCAATATGCCACAATTTGCCCATCAGCAATGATAATGCACGCCATTTAAGAGCTCAAGAGATCTAGCATACTAGTGTGAAACTTAATAATAGCAGAAACACATCTTGTATTGTAAGATAATTTGGTAATGACGAACTAATGACATCGGACATGCACGAGCTGGTTAATAAAGATCCTATTAGCCTGATAACGATCTGATTAGCCAGCCAGTCACAGCATATACATGCACTAAAAGTTCTCTTTGTCTCAGGAATATTCAATTCACAAGATCCACTGGCAGTAGTACAATAATGCTGGATCATTAGGTGCTGCTGCTCTGAGCGTAACTACCATCATACAGCTTGCCTAGAATACCAATTGCAGGGTAAGCTACTCCCAAATGACCATTTTACACATAAGTACGATGAGAAAACAATATAAAATATCAAATCTCCAATCAGAACCAGCTAGTTGGTGATGATCCGGGCGTATCTTGATGGCAGCATGTCTCACGGGGCACATGTAGCTGGATCCAATTAGTAGAAAACGCCTACAGGTTATCACGTGGACATGGTATTGTTTATGAAGAAACCCCTTGGCCCCAGCCCTCCACCCAAGGTCACACACTCCAGTGAGATCAATCTCTTGTTTAAGTCTGCACTTGACCAATTAAGAAAACAAAGAGTACTGCTTATGTACTATACAATAGGCCAAGTAGGCCTGCCTGCTAAACAGATGCTAGGAATCACATGCATTATCTTATCGTATTGCGCTACATTAACAGACCCTCACATGCCTTACATACTTTAGATCTGTCACCTTGTTCGTGCGTAAACTTTGAAAAGAGATATGTGAATCATGAGGTCCAGGTAAATTTTGTAAAGAAGATCAGCACGGACAATGATGAAGCCTCATGGTCTGATACTGAAAAGATCCTCAAAAGGCAGGTCCTGCTCAGTTACGATAAGAATATGCAAGATGCAAATATTGGCCACCAAAATTGGTCTTTCCTCAACATTGGAATGATTTGAGCATCAGCTGGATAATCTTTTGACCACCGACCTCCGCACAACATGATGGTGTCGTACTGGTCAGCAAGACTTTACATGTATCACAGTTAGTTTACATTATCACCTTGTTGCCACAACAAGCAAATAACTCTTCACTAGACAAAAGAACAAGTGAATTCCAGAACAGAGTGATAATGTAGTGACATCCTGAATGAAGATAAATCATACTGACGAACTTGCCTAGAGGTGTAGACAGGCAAAACAAACAATAAATTACCAAGGTTGATTTTGTAAGGCAAGAAGCTTCCACTCACTATATGACTAACATGGTTCTTAATGAAATGACAGGTACCACTCTGACACAAGAGAGGGAATCATATGATCTGGAGATACTGAAGGTCAGCTGTATTCAGTTCAACACTCCTGCAAGATGACTGGCTATTTCTAGGAAATCTAAGACCTACTTGCTAATAAATATTAAAACTAAGGTTCTGACAGCACTCTCAGTGCCCAACAACCGAAAGGATACAATATAACTAGTTTTCAGTTAACAAGGAAAAGAATCCAGATCTTGCTGCAGAACCCCAACATGCTCATCATTGAAAGCTAGATTATACTAGGGTGGGCGGTTGGTAAACAGGAAATTAAAATAAATATTCTAAGCTAAAGCTACAATCAGTGCACATCTACTAGTTCAGGTACCATCGGCTAAATTTATACCCTGGTATTGAGTTTCAGGTGAAAGTCATTCAGAACTGGACAAAAATGAAAATAGTTGAAATCCGCCAAAAGGCACCTAAGAACGCACTGACACTACGAAGCTGAAAAATCATGTGCTAGTAATGGCTGCAGAACACGAAATACAGTGTGTAGGTTACCCAAAGTGATTATGCCGGTCTGGGGAGGCATTTTCGGGAATAGTGTTCGCAAAAGGAAGTGTGCAAGTGCACACGTCGACGCCGAAAGGTTCAACTCCCTTAGTTCCATCTTCCATGCATATCATAGCCACCATATATTCATGCCTAAACTTTGGTCCATGTGTATCTGTTTTAGCCAAATAAACTACTGCGAGTTGAACACTATGGAAATAAGGTAGTGCTTCGTCTGGGGAGCAGCAATTTTAGTTAAAACAATAAAGAGAATCACGATCGCCTAATGGAGGTACTAATTTTCTGATCGTAGAATTTTGTCTCCGGGCGATTGGGTAGCCAGTTCTAGCTCAGGATGGTTTCCATGATAGTAATAGTCTCGTAGATACAAGTTGATTGACCACATAAACTCCTAGCACTGAATATTTTTTTCGACTGACCCTAGCACTGAATATTCCGTACGGTTCTTCCATTCATTGTTGAAAATACCATCTGAATTTCCCAAATGTTAGTTTCTCCAACGACATGAGCATAAACTCAAATATCCAAACTAGGATGGACCAGATAAAATTAAGCGTGCAAAAGTGCATGTTGTTCTTGATAAAAACAAGCGTGCAAAAATGCATGTACCGGGGGGGGGGGTGTCCAGAAATCGCACTCTTTCCAACCACATTACAATTTTTAGAGGAAAACGATAAACAATGAAGTATGCACCTGTGCTGACACCACATATGTTAATATTATTTTGTTGTTTTGCCAAGGTTTACGTATTAGGCAAGGGGGGCCATAAATAATTGGAGCCACGACTCTCATCCGTTTAAGTTTATTTTTGCTAGGTAAATAGATTACATCATAACTCACACACACAGAAGGGTTC